GGAATCTTGTAGAAACATGAAGCAAGAAATGTAAAGTACTTTAAATTTGAATTTTCTGGGAATTAAATCAGCAAATATCTAGTTAGTGTATATAATTCAGCTTTTAAAGTCAATGGGAAAGAACTGTTAATATACATTTTTATTTTAAATAAAATTGTTACTGAATCAGTATTAAAACCGTAAGATAAAATTCTTTTCCAAATGGCTACATATCCCGTACTTGTCACTTGTAGTAGCTAGTGTTGAGCCATAACTTGTTTAAACTTAAAAGTTTGAATGGTTTGCAATTTTTGGCAATATATTTACTTATGCATCGTTTCTGTATGTAATTGAAAAATATCTTTACTTTCAGCTAATTGTAAAGCTAATTAAAGGGGCTGGAGAGATGGCTCAGCAGTTAAGGTCACTGACTGCTCTTGCAGATGACCACGGTTCAAATCCCAGTACCCACATGGCAACTAACAATAGTCCATAACTCCAGTTCCAGGGGATCCAGCGTCTTCTTCTGTTCTCCATGGGCATTACACAGTACAGACACACTTACATGCAAGCATTAAACTCATACATATAAAATAAAAATAAATAATATTTTAAAAAATAAAATTCCTGAAAAAAAATAATGATTTTATGCACCTAACCCTAACTGCCTCAGAAAAAGGTCCCTAGGACCTACTTTAAGGGTAAGAAACAACTGGTGAGTCTATTCATATATGTATGGAAATAAGCACTTGAAAACAGTTGATATGTATATATATATATTTTTTTTTTAATTGAAGCTGGGTGTGGTGGTCATGCCTTTAATCCCAGCACTCAGGAGGCAGAGACAAGTGGATCTCTAAAAATAGTGAGGCGGGCCTGGTCTATATAGTGCATTTTGGGCCAGCTGGGGCTATGGGAAGACCCTATCAAAAAATGTTTTTATTGAATTTTTGAGAATTTCATACACTATTTTGATCACATTCAGATTCCTTCCCCATCTGCACCCCCCTAATACTTCTCCCCTCAAATTTCATGTACTCTATTATACTTATATATTTTTTAAAGGCCTATTGAGTCTAATTTGTGTCCACAAATGCCCCTCGGTATAGGTCCCTCCACTGGAGCTTGGTTAATCTACCCAGTGTCACACCCTTAAAGAAAACTGACTCTCCCAGCATCTATCAGTTGCCAATGGTTCCTCAGCTAAGGTTGGAGCTTTGTACACACTTTCCCATTTCTGTGCTGGGATTTTGTCTGGCTTGAGTTTATATGAGTCTCATGCATGGTATCAGCAGTTCCTCTGAGTTTGTAACTGACCACCTGTCTGGAAAACTTTCCTTGTGCTCATCCACCCCCACTGGCTCTTACAGTCATTCTACCCTCTCTTCCAAAGTGATCCCCAAGCCTTGGGAGGTAGAGGTTTGATATAAGTGGCCTGTTCAGGGATAAGTACTCTGAAGTCTCTTATGTTCTATACATCGATCAGTTGTGGGCCTCTGTGGGCATCTGCTGCATGAGGAAGTTTCTCTGGTGAGAGTTGAGAGATGCATTAATCTGAGGGTATAATGACAAGTCATTAAGAGTCAAGTTAATACTTTGTCTGTCTAGCAGAATAAGAGTAGTAGATTCTCCTCTTAGGGAGTTCTGCCTTTTTAGCTTACATTATCATGGAGGATGTTTGCTCTCCTCCATGCTCCAGCTACCACACCATTAGCATTTACTTTCCATTTCCCAACCCCTGGCAACCACTAATCTGTTTTCCATCTCTGTGGATTTGCTCATCCTGGACATTTCATATAAATGTGATGTTTATACACTCTGCGGTCTTTGTGATTGGCTTCTTTCACTTAGCATAATGCTTTCAGGGTACATCCATGTTAGAGAATAATTCATTGCTTTATTTCTTCCATAGGCAAATGATATAGTTCATTGTATGAGTAGGCTACATTCTGTTTATCCATTTGTCAGCCAGTGGAACATTTAAATTTCCAGGATTTTTCTGTGCTGAATAATACTTGTGTAAACACTCAAGTATTACTTTTTATGTGGACATCTTTTCAACTGTCATGAAAAAAGCCTTTGGAGTAGAGAGATGAAGTTTTTCTTTGCCCTCATGAATAGTAATTGATGTTTGTCCTTTCTATTATAACCATACTAGTGGGTGTGAGGTGGTATCTTATGTGGTTTGGGTTTCCTTTCTCTAGTGATTAATGACAGCATGTAAGTTATTTTTCATGTCACTGTGATAAAATACCCTGACAAAAGCAACTTAAGGAAGAAAGTTTTGGCTTAAGTTCAGAGCTATGGTCCATTGAGGCAGAGAAATCTTGGTGGCAGGAGTCGGAGGTGGCTGGTCCCATTGCATCCACAGTCAGGAAGCAGAGAGCAGCGAATGCTGTGCACAGCTAGTTTTCTCATTTTTATTAAGTCTGGGACTCCAGCCTAGTATGAAATGGTACCACTCACATTTAGGGTGCATCTTCCTGCCTTAGTTAACCTAATCTAGATAATCCCCCATAGACAGGTCCAAAGGCTTGTCCCCATTGATTCTAGATGCTGTCAAGTTGATCATCAATATTAACCATGACAGGTGCTAAGCAGCATTTCCTATATTTATTAGTCACTATATTTTCTTTGGAGATAGTGTAGTTAATATGTATTCATATTATAGGGCTGGAAAAATGGCTCAGCAGTTAAGAGCACCAGCTGCTCTTGCAGAGGACCTGGGTTCAGTTCCCAGCACCTACACTGTAGCTAACAACTGTCCATAACTCCAGTTTCAGGGGATCCAACACCCTTTTCTGACCTCCATGAGCGTTGCATAGATGGGTGTACTTGCATACATGCAGGCAAAACACTCATACAAATAAAATATTAAAAGAAAAAAAGCAAAAGAAAGAAGACATTTTAATAATGTAACAATTATGGAAATCAGCCCCACCCCCAGGAAGGTTATAGACCCTAGAGAAAAACCTACTTTGCCACATGCCTAGACCAACATAATTTTTTATTTTATTCTAAATATGCAACCTAATATATACAGACAAGTGCACCTTTCACCCCTCATCAAAGAAGCTTCTTTTGCAAACAGATGGAGACTAATACAGAGTTCCAGATCTGGTCAAACACAGAGAAAAAGTGTTTGTGAGATGCTTAACCCTAAGTGACACATCCTCAATGCAGCCTCTACACATAGGATGAATGTATCTGTCAACTCTCACCAGAGAAGTTTCCTGGTGATTAAAAGAGAAATCCACAATTAGCCACTGTGCAGAGAATGAGAGACCACAGAGTACTTATCCCTGATTAGGACACTAGTTCAAACCTCTGCCTCCCAAGGCTCAGGGATCACTGCAGAAGAGAAGGCAGAAAGATTATAAGAGCCAGAGAGGGTGAATGACCATAAGGGAATAGAGTCATCAAGACAGCTAGTCGGTTACACATATGAACTTATAGCAATGGTGACAGCACGTACAATTCCTCCACAGGCTCAAACCAGACAAAATCCCAGCATAGACATGGGAAAGTAGGTAAGAAATCCCGACCAACCTAAGGAATGTTTGCCAGTTGATGCTGCTGGGAGGGGGAAAGACAGTGTCTTACAGGGATGGGACTCTTGGTGGGCCCAGTGGACCTATACTGAAGGACATTTGGAGACACAAATCAGACTCTATAGGCCGTTTTATGGGGGAGGTGTGGATACGGGAGGGAATCTAAATACCATCAGACTTATTTATTGTATGAAAATCGGAAACATTCAATTAAATTTTTTTTTTTTTTGGTCTTTTTGAGACAGGGTCTCCCTGTAGCCCCAGCTGTCTTGGAACTCACTTTGTAGACCAGGCTGGCCTTGAACTCACAGAGATCCACCTGCCTCTGCCTCCCGAGTGCTGAGATTAAAGGCGTGCACCACCACGCCCAGCTCAATTAAATTTTTAAAAAATATTAAAATATGAATCAAAAAAGAAGGCATTGTAATAATGTGACAGCTATGAAAATCAGCCCCACCCCAGGGAGGTTCTTATCATGTCTTTGCTTAGTGACTTTTCTGAATTAATTCTGCAAACTATGTTCTTTGCATGCATAACTGGCCATTGATGTCACTCCTTAGCCTAATGGTTAGTGAATGCTTAGACAGATTTTCTTATTAGCTGCTTTGAGTGAAAGCCTCTGGTCTCTGTTGAGGAGCTTGTGGGGTCTTTTGGGGCATACCTGCAACACTCAGCAAGGCAGTTTACAATTGTGACTATGATTTCACCTTCTGATTGTATGAAACCTCACTGACAATCAGAATGAGAGATTAGCACCTCCTCAGGTCTGCGCACATAGCCCTTGACCTGGGCTGGCACTGCACATGCACATGGCTTCCTAGAGTCCCAGGAACATGCAGGACTTTCAAAGCCTATGTACATGAGTCCCCAGCGTTGCCTTTGTTAAGCTTTCGGATTAGCCTGTTCTAGCTATGAACCACTGCTTTAGCAGGCCAAGATCCTCAACTATTCCTCCTTGAATTGGTTTTCCTCTTTTTTAAAACAAATGTCCACAGAGAACAGAATACTCACACCAGATGTTCTAAGGGAGTCCCATAAAAATAGCTGAAGAATGAGTTATGCAGGGAACCCCTGGCCAGGTCAGAGAATGATCACTCTATGGGCAAGGTCTGAAGGAGCCTCAAGCTCTGTCTGGTCTCCAGTGTGGGCAGCCAAAGCTGCTGGTTTTCAAGGCTGATGCAGAGCTTGTAGGTTGGGTAGGAACGGCTTGCCCTTCTTCTTAAGACATAGCCAGCTTTTAATGGAAGACTATTTCCCAGCTTGCTGCAGTCCTTTTGCTAATCTCCAGAATCCAGAAGATACTGATTCTGACCATTTTTGCTAATGTTCTCAGTGCAGTTTTGGAGAAATTTTTCAGAGGTCTTTGCTCCATAGTTTCCACCAAGGTCGCACTGTTTGCTTCTTTGAAAAATAGATGGTTCCAGTTTTCTTTAAGGCCTGAATAAAGGAAAGTCCTCTTTTGTTTAACAGGATCTTACTAGAAATCAAGAAGCTGTTACAAAAGAAATACGAGAAGATGCAGATGCCCATAGACGAAAAGTGGCTCTTGAAGAGCATGTGTTTCAGAAGCTGCTAGAAACTAGCCAGACCCAGAGCACAGAGACTCAGAAGGTAAAAGCATGATAAACCTGGTGCCCGCAGCAGGGAGTTTATAGCTGGTGTTCTTTCTAGAACACAAATGTAAGTCTTTGAAGTTGCAACAGTCTCCCTTTGTCTCTTTTTTCCTTTGCCTCTATACCTAGAGCCTCATAGCTTTCTCATGACAGGTTACTGACCGTGCTGGTAGTCACACACATGTGTCTTTCATACCCTTTGAGAACATTAAGACTTAAAACAGGAGAAATAGTAACTACACGTTAATACTGTTCTGCTGTGTTCCATCTCAGAAATTTTCCGAGTGCACACAATGGCAGAGCCTCAGGTCCCTCCTGGCATATAAGCCAGACTCTCCAAAGCATCTTCTGTGGAAAACTCATAGCTTTATCTAGTCACACAGGATGGTCAAGTCAAGATTGGAAGTGCTGCTGAAAAGTCGGGGTTATGCCAGATCTGAGGGATGTTGGACATTGTGAAGCCTTGAGAAAACTTCCCAAACTTATTTTATAGAATTTCTTATAAAGTACCCTTTTAGAATGCCAGCGTGAGTGAACTGGAATAGAGCATGAGCCGCTTAGAAAATAACTTTCTTGGCTATCCTTTTAACACAATGTTAACAGGGCATGTGTTCCAGGCTGGCCCTGTTCCAAAAGCAAGACTAGTGGGGGCTGAGGAGAGCACCAGTCTTAGATGACCTCCCAAAAAACCTCCGTGTTTTCTCGTGAAGGCTTTTGTACAGTCTGAAAATGGACTCTTTCACAGCTTTTTTAGAGTGTTAAAAACAGAAATTGTTGAATCTTACCCATTCCCTAAGCCTGGAAGTTCTGAACCTCGGCTGTAAATTAGAATCACTTTAAGAGCTTAAAGTTTTTTGTTTGGTTTGGTTTGGGTTTTTTCTTCTCCTTTTCTTTTGAGATGGGGTGTAGCCCTGGCTGGCCTTACATACACAGTCTTCCTGTCTCCTCCAAAACCTTTTTTTAATATTTTATTATTTTTATTTTACGTGTATGAATGTATCGTCCACATGCATCCTTGTCACCCAGTGCCTGCAGAGGTCAGAGGAGGGCATCAGATCTCTGGAACTGGATGGTTGTCAGTCGCCATGTGGTCACTGGGAACCAAACCGGGGTCCTCTACAAGAGCAGCCAGTACCCTTAACAGCTAAGCCATCTCTCTAGCCCTCAAAAACTTAAAAAAAAAAAAATCAGCATCCAGCTTCTCTGGAGATGGATTTAACTGGTTTATGGTGGGTCCTGAAAGTTTATTTTAAACATACCTAGTGACTGTACAGTACCACCAAGGTTACGAACAACTGTCCTAGACATTTGGATGCACTGAGTGGAGATGCCATGATTCTATACAATTTCTCCTTGTTTCTGAAATTTACTTTTTCTCAGGTAATTAAGGAAAATTTGGCAAAAGCTGAGCAAGCCTGCCTAAATGCCGACTGGCAGATTCAGGCTTTACATAAACAAAAGTGTGATGATCGACAGCGCAGTGAGGGTTACCAAGAAGCAGCCAGTCTCCTCCGGAAGAACAGAAGGAAGGAGATTGAAGTATTGAATTCAGTGGTGCAGGAGGAAGCCAAGAAGGTAGAAACCCTATCGATTTTGCGTGTTAAGATAATCTGAAGTTTTTCCTTTGGTGCTGAGTATTGGAGCCAGAGCCTTAACAGACCAAGGCAGGCACTTCACTACTGAGCCATGCCACCAACCTGTTAATAATCAAATTTCAATGGATGTTATCAGGGAAGTCATCTAGTAGTGATGCTACTTAAAAACAGTCAAGCAGCTTTCTCGTTTGCATTAATATGCCTCAGCTTGTCCACTTTTGGATTGGTTCTGGCTGATCCAATAGTATTACTGCTTTAATTTACCTAATTCTTTTTATTTCTATGTGCGTGTTTTGTCTGCATGTATATAAGTGCACTCATGTTGTGCAATGCCTGTGGAAGCCAGAGGAAAGCATTGTGTCCCCTGAAACTGGAGTTAAGGATGGTTGTTAGCCACCATGTGGGTGCTGGGAACTGAACCTGAATCCTCTGCTAGAGCAGCCAGTGCTCTTAACTGCTCAGCCATCTCTCCAGTCCCTTAAGATTTATTTTTATTTTATGTGTATGGATGTCTGCCTACATGTATGTATGTGTACCCTGTGCATGCCTGGTGCCCACACAGGTCAGAAGAGAGCATCAGATGCCCTGTAAGCTGCTTTGTGGGTGCTAGGAACTGAACCCAGGTCTTTTGCAAGAGCAGCCAGTGCTCTTAACCACTGAGCATCTCTGTAGCCCATTTTGGGCTATTTTAAATCTATTATTTAGTTGTGCCCTGAACTCATTTTAAGATGAATGTTTTCTTACTTTATGGGGGAAAAGTGGGGCTAGTAGAAATCATTAGACTTTTATACCTGTGCCAGTGTATGTCCCAGAGCTGGGCAAAGAACTAATTTTCTGAATTTTGTCATCTTTGCTACTAAGGGTAGCTTGCACACTAAACAGAAAGTAATTGCCATTGCTAGGAAGCTGGCTTGGTCTGATAAGGCCTGGAACCTATGGAAAGGAATTACTATGTCACTGGGACAGTTGGGAGCTGGCTGCGTGCTTCATGGAAGGCACCAACCAAGCGATAGTAAAACATAGGTCTGCTCTCAGGCTGTTCCATAGCCCCCACAGGCACCCCAAGTCTCATAATAGCAAACAGGGTCTGCGTGTCCTGGGACTGTGAAGGAGTAAGGGGTAGAGCAACCCGAAGGGGCTCATTCCCTCGAGCCTGCCTTACTACAGTTTCTGACGCTCTTTCTGCCCTACTTGTATGCAGTGGAAGGAAGCTGAAGAAAAAGAATTTCATCTGCAATCAGAAAAGAAAGCTGCTGCACTTTCAGATGCATCTAGAAAGTGGTTTTTGCAGCAGGAAATAAGTGCAGCTTTAGAACATGCTGGAAACCCACTGCATGAAGGTGAGTATCCATGGAAGTCGGTACTGTTACTGGTTCCTTATAGTATGCTGTTACCCTGAGTCAGTTCTGGAGGCCTGTTTTGGTACTTGCATTCAAATTATGTTCCACTAAAAGCTAATACTATGGAGCAGGGGGGCTGCAGAGGTGAAACTGCTGAAACACAGACCTCCAATCAAGAAGAGCCTTGGGTTAGATATTGCTTTGCCTAGCGTATATGAGACCTGTACAATCCCCAGTACAGTACCCACAGAAGAAAAGAAAAAAGAAAGCCTCAAATGTCCCGTAGAATTCTTATTCCATAGATCCTTGGCATTCTCTTAATCGTCTGGAATCTGGTTTGTTCCCAAAGGACTACTTCTAATTTATTTTAGTAAGAATATGTGTTTTGTCAAAATACTTTGGAGGCTAGAGAGATGATTCAGCAGTTAAGAGCACTGGACGCTCTTGCACAGGACTGGGGTTCGATTCCCAGCACCCACATGGTGGCTAACAACCACCTATGACTCCAGTTCCAGGGGAATCTGACACCCTCTTCTAACCTCTGTGAACATTGCATGACACGTGTGCACTTCCATACATGCAGGCAATGAACTCACACACATAAAAAATAAAAAAATAATAAAATAGTTGATCCCCAGAACAATAGTATATTAAAGTACCACAAAGAATCTTCTTATAAGACTAATCAAATATTAATAAGGCTTACAAATAAGATCAACTGAAAAATCATGTTTTATCAGACTAATGAGATGGCTCAGTGCATAAAGACATCTGCTGCAGAGTCTAAGACCTGGATCTGATCCCCAGGACCCATGGGGTAGAAGAAAAGAACTGATTCCCACAAGTCAAACTCTGACCTCCACATGTACACTGTGGCACACATGCCCACACATGTACACACACAATAAATACATGTCATTTTAAAAAATGAAAATTATGTTGGGTTTGGTGGCACACGCCTTTAATCCCAGCACTCAGGAGGCAGAGGCAGGTGGATCTCTGTGAGTTCAAGGCCAGCCTGGTCTAATAGCAAGGTCTAGGTCAGCTGTGGCTACAGGGAAACCCTGTCTCAAAAAAAAGAAAGTTATAATCTAACATTCTAAAACAGAGTACAGGCATGTGAACTGCTCCCTGCATTTTGTACTGTCTTTTCTTTTAAAAGGTAAACATTATCTTTTAAAACCTCAGTTTCACTGGTACAGTTGCACTGCTAGAGTGTTTCCTTGTTTACAGTGCTCCAGCTTGTCACACATTCAAGCTGGATGTGGGGGTGACACAACCCAAGCAGTCAGGAGACTGAGGTCCTCATGAGTTTCAGGCCTGCCTGAGTCATGGGGGAGAGGGAGGATCTCCATATAGTAGAATCTTATTCAGCCATAAAAAGGAATGATCCATGATCCATGTTTCAAAATAGTTGAACTCTGGAAACCTCGTGTCTAGTCAAAGAATCCAGACACTAAAGGCTCCATACTGTGAGTGTCTGCTCATATGAAGTGTACACAGATGTGAGGTTTCTTTGTGGGGCAATGAAAATGTTCTAAAATTAGTGATATTGGTTGTATAACTTTGAGTATATTAGTAACTCTGAATTATTCACCTTTAAAAAGTGAAATAGGGGCCAGGCATGGTAGCTCGTGCCTTTTGGGAGGCATAGGTAAGTAGATTTCTGTGAGATCAAGGCCAGCCTGGTCTACATAGCAAATTCTAGGCCAGCTGGGGCTACACGGAGACCGTGTCTTAAACAAACAAAAACGAGAATTGGCCAAACATGGTGATGCATTCTGTAATCTCAGCACTTGGGAGGTAGAGACAAGAGGATCAGGAGTTCAGGGCCAGCCTGTGCCACATGAGACTCCCTCAAAAGGAGGAGTAAATTATGATATTTAAATTATATGTCAATAAAACAGCTTCTTAAAAAACATACAAAACCAGGCCAGTTAGGTGGCTCAGCAGGTAAAGTGTTTGCATGCAAGCTTAATAACCTGAGTTCAATTCCCAGAACCCACAGTGGAAAGAGAAACAATTCCTGAAAGTAGTCCTCTGACCTCCACACCTTGGCATCTGTACACACACACACACACACACACACACACACGAAAAATAATAATAAAATAACAGTATTGAACAGTGTCTACCCAGAAATATTGTTGCTGGGTAGAGCCCTTGAATCGGGTTTCAAAATTACTAGGTATTGAAGCAAGAATGAGAGTGCTTAGGGGAAGGAGATGACACTTGGGACAGACAGACAGATCACATCTGCAGACTGCTTAGGGTCTGCCGCAGGTTTGTAGGAATCAAGCACAGCCATAGTCACTGAGCCCTGTGACTCTAGTTAGTTTCTTTAACCATTTTCTAGTCACCCGTTTCTCATTTGTAAACTGAGAAGATTGTAAACTTTGGGATCTTTCATTTTGTTATAGTTCTAGCATTTTATTATACTGTTTTTCTAACCACTTATGGTTTCTGACCAGAAACTTCTCCCAGAAACACACACACACACATATTGCCAATTTTTGTAAGAATTTTTGTGGCTTCATCACCAAAAAACCCTCATGAATTCCTATTGGTCCTAAGACAACTTGATGAGCATGACTCAGCAATGGTAACAAAATTACCTATGCTGGTGGTAGTCAGGGCAGCAGGAAGAGAGAATCCGTGCCCAGGGATTGTTCTAGATAAGACGTCTTGAGACAGGAGAACGTGATGCAGGCTGCAGGAGTCTCAGCTGCTAGACAGGTGTGCTTTGGGCCTGCCCCAAGTTGATGAGGAATGAACACAGACACAGATTTGATTGGTAGGTGCAGCAACAGTCGCTGGAAGGTTCTTTAGTTTCACAGGTCAATCTGCTGAGCCAGTGCTTGAAATACTGCTGTGGGCAAAGGAAAGCCAGTGGTTTAAGCTGGAAAACATCACTGAACAGCCTCTGCGGACACTGAATTACACAGCACTGGTGGCATGGGATTCAGAGGACAGTGAGACAGGGGTGGCAGACCTCCGCTCTGTGAGAGGAGCCAGAGCCCAACTTGGGGCTCATTTGCTGCATGGCCGTGGTGCCATTGCCTACACTGGGACGCTTGAAAGCTGGCCAGCTTATTAGCTGGCTCCATTTTCTGAAAGTATTTTATTTAAAAGTTATTCTTCCCTATGTAAAGTAGTTGAATCTGCTTTTCTTTTTTTCTTTTTTTTTTTTTTGCATTTAATTGTAAAATTTATCTCATTCTTTTAAGCATACTTTTTTTTTGCATTTCATTACAGCTTTAGCTTTAACATATTCAGTAACAATTTCCAATTTCCAAGGATACATCTATTTCAAAAGTGTAAATTTTTAGGTTCACAGTTGAATTAATATAGTTATACAATATTGAACTCAGTAGAAACCCTGTAAGACATAAAATTGAATGTGAGAATCTGCTTTTTTGATATTTTTCCTCTGAGTACGTTCTTACTAGAAGTTCTTCCCTGGAGCAGTGCAGATCTGTGACAGGACAGCCGCGTTTGATGGTGGCCTCCGTATTCCATTCCCTCACACCAGTTCAACTTAGTCACATTGTTTTAATGATTCATTGAGTCAAACTCTGAGCACTAGCTCTGGAGATTAGGTAAGAGGCTGCATCATGGTGAGTCAGTGAGACACTCATAGAGGCCAGTGATGAGAGTTAGATAGGAAGAGACAGGGATGACTCAGATGGTAAGTGAACCCGCTTTCAAAGACCTTATCACCATACCAAATGTGGAACTGTAGGAGTTAGGAGAAAGTAAAAACACAGCTGAAAAGTGAGTGTCGATGTTTATTTATTTATTTGGTCTTTTTTGAAACAAGGTCTCCCTGTAGCTCCAGCTGGCCTAGAACTCACTATGTAGACCAGGCTGGACTTGAACTCACAGAAATCCGCTTTCTTCTGCCTCCCAAGTGCTGGGATCAAAGGCATGTGCCACCACACCTGGCTGTGAGTGTTGATGTTTACATTTAAATTATGTTGGGTGCACGTGTGTGGAGGTCCAAAGACTTGAAGACAACTTGCAGGAGTGGCGTGCTTCTTCCACTATGGGGGTTCTGGGTATTGAACTCAGGTCGGCAGGCTTGGCAGCAAGCATCTTCCCGTTTCTGATTCTGGTTTGTTGTCTACCGTTCTGATTAGCCCTGCCTGGCTCAGCAGCAGCAGCTGATCAGGCCACTCTGATCTTTTGCTGGGAAAGGAACCTAGAGCCTTGTTCATGCCAGGCAAGCGCTCAGCCACAGAGCTGTGCTCCCAGTCCCTGGTGTCTATTTTTTAACTGTTTCTTGGCTTTTTGTTTTGCTGAAGGTGTTCGTAAAAGCCATTACTAGAACTTCAGCCCAGCTCCTGATTCCCACCACTATTCTTTCCTTGGCCACTCATGGCTTCAGGGCTCTTCTCAGAACAGGAGAGGAAGGGGATTCTAACTGCCTATGGAAGTGTTCTATTGAAGACTGCTTGTGACTGGTAGAGGGTTTCTGCTCCCTCACATACACCTTTCTTATCTCTTCCTTTTCTAGCAGTGCCCTGGCTCCAGAAAAAACAGGTAGCCTCAAGCTGTTTGCCCCAAACCTCACCATTAAGTGAGGGTTCTGAAATGGATCCCTCAGCACAGAGTAAGTTGATGAAAACCCTCTGTCAGCTTACACTGCACAGTATTTAAGCACACTGAGGCTGAAGTGATAGGTATACTGTGTTGAAGCATTTTTCCCAGGGTGCCGACAGGAGAAACTGTAGAAGGGGCAGCAGGAACCAGTTCAGCTGGGGAGGATGGGATGGAGACCAGCCCCAGAAAAGCTGCCTGACAGATGCATTCTCGCTGTTCCTCAAACAGAGCTGGAGCTCTAACAGAAGGCTAGCTCTGACCAAGCTAGTAACATGAGATGCAGAGCTACCTTTGCATCTTTGAGAAAAGAAATCTCAGGGCAGGTTGACTACTCACAGTGACTAGCTTGGGGTGGGCTAAGTGACTTGTGATCTTGAGACTTGTTGGGGGATGGGGTGGGAGGGGGGTTAATACAGCATCAGCTTGTTAAAGAGCTAACAATCTCCCAGTAAACTCTTATTGCTTATACAAATAAGAAGCCAGACCTAGTGATGAAGGGCTATAATCCCAGCTACTGGGAAGCTAAGGAGGAAGATCATGAGTTCAAGGACAACCTTGGCAACTTAGTGATACCTTTTCTCAATATAGAAAAGGCTAGAGATACAGCTCAATGTGAGGCCCTAGATTCAATTCCCGGTATTTCAAAAAAGCCAAAACTTTTTTTTTTTTTAAGTAAGTAAAGGCTGGAGAGACAGCTCAGGGATTAAAAGCACTTGCTGTTCTTCCAGAGGACTCAGGTTCAATTCCCAGCACCCACATGGCAGCCCTATCATCTTCTTCTGGCCTTTGCAGGCACTATATACATACCAGCCATCAAAACACTGCACAAATGCCAGGTGTTATGGTGCACACCTTTAATCCCAGGACTCAGGAGGTAGAGGCAGGCAGATCTCTGTGAGTTAAAGGCCAGCCTGATCTACATAGTGAGTTCTAGGCCAGCTGAGGCTACAGGGAGACCCTGTCTCAAAAAGATGAAAAGGAAACAAATAAACAAAAAAACCCGCTGCACAAATAAAAATAAACCATTTTTTTAAAAGTGCTCCTAGAAGAACAAATCTTTATACAGGGTCTCCAGATGAGCTTTATGAGAAATATTTCTAATAATAATGGATGAGATTCTAGTATTGTGTAAAGTTTTTTTTTTTACCAATTCCTATTTTATATGAATCTATAAGTTCTGGGCTAGAATAAGAATTAAACCAGGAATGGGATCATTTGCAAGTCAGATGAAATGTAAGAGACTCAACTATTCCCTGTTTGGACACATGAGAACTTAAACATTTTAATTTAAATTTTTTTTCTTTTATTTTTTTATTCTCACATATTCCAAGCTGACCTTAAGCTGGAATGTAGCCAAGTATGACCTTGACCTTCTGATCTCCCTGTTTCCA